CATATATAATCATGGGGAAAGAAAAAAGAACTGACAACTAAATCTCAACCGGAGTGTTTTTATGGAAACAGATTCAAGTCCCAGGATTGAAAATTCATTTCAGTGTCTTCCAGAGAAGAATTTGAAAGAAACCAAACATTAAGTTGAACTTTTCTGTAACAGACAACAACCTGTTGAAACCTCAAAAACCCTTTTTGTACTGAGACATTCCCATTTAAAATTGTAGAAATTAGGTGAATGCACTTTTGTATTTTCTGCTTTGTGCAATTTTTGCTTTCTCAAAATTTTCCCCTTTTTTTCATTTTCAAAAACTGTCATTTTTTTTGTTATATATTTGAATTGTTATCCTGCTTTAGGGTTCGTATAAGATACACAAAAGGAAACTTTTTGTATAAGGTGCACGAATAGAAAATTTTTGTGCAACCTTTGTATGTAAATTTTGTATTTGTTTTATTTTTTATACTGTAATAGATGTGTTTCCTATTAAATTTTGCATAGTGGTTGAGTCTTGTTTCACTCCTTATTCAACTTTACGGATAAGAGAGGTTACGTGTTCTCTTTTCCATTCTATCCCTAGCTAAATGTTTGTGTTAGGCACAAGAATTTAGGTTTTCGTAGGGAGTTAAAATTTTTATATTTTGTGCAAAAACTATTTTAGTTTTTGTGTAATTTAAATTTTTATAGATTTTCTTCTAAAACTTTTCTTCAAAATAAATCTTCTGAAAAATATGATAATTTTAAACAGGATTCAAATTTATAATGTTTTAAGTGCCAAATACCAGATTAGAAAAACTATGTTTGAACACTATTTCAAAACTATAATATAGTCTCTTCTTGAAAAATGACCAAAGATGGTTGAAAGTGCTCAAAAATATATGTACATATTTTACACTCACTAAAAGCAAACATGCTATTCTATATGAAAGCAAGAGAAAATCATTAAAGAATTATTAAAACAAAAATTTGTCTGTGGTTTACAAGAGCAGCTTAAATGAAAAACTGATACCAGTATATTAGGTTGAGTCATAAATAATTTTCATTTTTGTTCATCAATGATCTGCTTCATTCTTTACAAGAACATGTGGAACAAGACTCCCCTTTCATTTCTAAGTGTCGGCAGATGGTACATTCTGATGTGTTTAATATCTTTTCTAATTCTCAAGTACTTTGCCATGGATTGTTTTCCATTTATGACTTCAGAGTTTCGTCATCAACATCTTATCAACACCCTGGTCTGAGTTTGTAGCTGTGTAAATGCTTTTTGCTATAAGTTTATAGTGTCCGCTGTGCATGGTAGAGTAGGAAGAGAAGTTTGTTAATGTCTTTTTTCACTGGCTCTCGGTTTGAAAAGGTGGGTACATGTATATTTAAATTTGTAAATATATATAGACTTGTGTGTTTCTTGTTATCAGGAGAAAAATAATCATCACATCAGGTGTCCCAACTGGTTGTGGGGCCATGTATGCATTGAGAGATAAACACGTGTGTCTCCTGAAATGCCCACAACAAACATGGCAGACTCAGGATGTGAGTCCATGTAAAGAATCGTAAAGAAATGGCAAGAACCATTATATATGTAAAAACAAATGATAATGTATTAACAAAGGTATGTAAGCAACATAGACAATAATGTATGTAACAAATGAATACGGAAACCGTTTTGGTCCAAAGTATGTGTAGTGAGTGAATGTGTGTATGTATGTGTGTGTGTATATATGTATTGTTCATGCATTTCCCAAAGGGAACATGTAATTTGCATGTTGACATGTAAGTGGAAAAAGTGAGAAGTGAGTGATAAAAAATTATTGCTGAGTATTTATAGTCCTAAGAGTGTCTCCTAGGAACAGTTTCAAAAATTAGGAGGAGGTAACCCAACAAGTTCATCTCCCAATGAATTTTTCAAACCAATTTCATTACGTATTTTTCTAAATGTCCCAATAATGATATTTCCTTACAATTATGTAAAATAAATGTACTTTAATCCCTCCATTAATAGACTATAAAATTTATTCTTTAACTAGCAGTAGATCCCGGCGTTGCCCAGGTATGTAACAGTAAGAGATAGATCAAGTATCAACCATCATAAAGACTGAAAAATAAAATTGACAAAGATTATTGTTTAAGGTTGACGGACACGCATGTCTTAATTATTGTCTTTTTTGTTTTTTTGGGTTTTTTTTACGGATTAGTCAAACCCAAACTCAAACAAAAACATCGTTTTCAATCGTTATGAGTCTATCAATTGAATAGAATTTTATTATAAACAATTGTCTTGTAAATGGAATTTTTAAAGCATTCTGAATGTAAAAATAAAGAAAAAAGTGTGCAAGACAATAAGAAACACCACCTGCCAAAAAAAAAGTGAAGTTTTGTTGAAATCGGTTGAAAAATGTAGGAAATCTGATCCCATATATAAAGAACACACACACACACACACACACAACAACATGGGTTTTATAATAAGTATAACTCGATATGAGTTGTCCCCCTTTCATTCTGGCGACAGAATCGTTTTTATCATGTTTTCAAATTGATTTCATGCAAAAACAATTGTGATTTTCCAATTTTGGTGCTGTCAGAACCACCGCAAGGTAATTTTACGTAGTCCTGTGAAGTTTTGTTGAAATCAGTTGAAAATGTAGGAAAAATCCAATATATATAAATACAGACACACACACACACACACACACACACACAACACACACACACACACACACACATTCTGCGTTTTATAATAAGTAAGATTCACTCTTTAACTGCCATTATTTTTAAAACAATTAAGATATAAAATAGTTTAGTCCAAATTTATGATTAGTAATAAAGATGATACATTTGTCATTAAATAGGTTCCAAAAACGGAAAATATTTATGACTCAAACTTTATTTACATATACATACATATATATATATATATATATATATATATATATATATATATATATATATATATACATACATACACACACACACACACATATATATACATATACACACATCTGCACATATATACATAGCACACACACACACACATATATATATATATATATATATATATATATATATAATTTCCTGGAAAATTATAACGCTGTAAAAATTTTTGAATAAATTATATTTAATTCTTGTTTGTATTGAGCAACTCTCTTAAGAATAATTTTTGACTTATTGAATTTTTATTATATACACAATCAAAAATATATATATATATATATATATATATATATATATATAAACTTAAGTATATGATTGGTGTATAGTTTCCTTTTCCAATAACCAACAATTACTATTTTAAAAATTTTTTAATACAGAGTAGAGCAAATATAATAATTTATTTAAAATTATAACATAAATATGTTATAAAATTTTTACAAAAATAAATTTTTTTTCCTTGATTCTGGTGTCTTATCAATTTGATGATGTTGAATGTTTTTTTATAGAATAAAATTTCTACAATCTTTTCTATGTTATAATTTTTAAATATATATTTTTAAATTATATATATTTTATATATTTATATATATATATATATATATATATATATATATATGATGGCTGTTGACTTTGTTTGAGTATGACCATCACTGACATGTCCAGCTCTTCACTTAAACCCCCCACACACACACACACATATATAAGTGATGCTGCTTTGAGAAAATTTAAGACATGAAATTACTTTCTCAAAGAAAGATAAATGTTCAGAGAAATTAAGATATTTTTTTAATTTCCTGGAAATGTGATTTTGGGAGATGCGTAAAATGTCAAACAAGCAACAGGAAACACTAGACTATTTGACAGATCAAGAAAAAGATCAATGTTAAAAATCCCTGACATTTTTGGTTTAGCCTTGTATCTACAAGGAAGTACTTGAAAATAGCCATTCTACTGAGTCAGTCTCCTTCATGCTATCCACACATGTTCAGGTATAATATGAAATGTTATTACATTGTCGTGGAACAGCTCTGTAATCTTAATATTAATTTAAGACTACAAAATTAAGGACATGTTATAGAAATGTTTACCATACATTTCTCTCTACACACAATTAAGGAGCTTTCATCCTATTTGTGCAAATAAATGTTGACATCATTCAGCAAATGAACAATTAGATTCCTATAAATATTTTACACATCAATAAAACCTGAACTGACTAATAAAGTGAGGTAAAGTATTTATAAAAGATGTATATTTTGGTAGCAAGAATTCATTTAAACAAGTTTTAATTAATTTAACCAAGAAGATCTGTCTGTTGAAACTTTTTAAATTGATTGATTTGTTTTCTATGGTTTATCAACCCACTGCAGGTTAATTAAAGCCAGAAAATATTTTTTAGATTGCAAGAATATTTTTTTTAAGATAATAGTGCTTTAAGGATACAAGTCTTACTAATTAACCCATAGCTAAGGAGAGACGAGGTGAATTTATACCTAATTGGAATTTGATAAACAAACAAGAAATTATAATGTGGATATAAAGTGGGGGTCAATTCTATGTTACAATCAATATATAAATTGATCCCTTACTTTATGACCACTGTAGCTTCTATACATTTATATTTTAGAGAATGTATATAAATCTAAAAGACATGCCTATAAGAAATTATAATGCGGATATAAAGTGGGGGATCAGTTCTATATTACAATCAATATATAAACTGATCCTTCACTTTGTGGCCTATGTAGTTTCTATACATTTATATTCCAAAGAATGTAAATAAATCTAAAAGACATGCCTGTGCAGCTGATTAATTGATTGATTCGTTTTCTATGGCTTATCAACCCATTGAGGTTATTTAAAGCCAGAAAATATTTTTAGATTGAAGAAATTTGGAGGAGAGATTTAGTGATACGAGTCTTACTAATTAACCCACAGCTGGGGGGAGAATACCTTTTCCAAGGAGATTTGCATGTAAGTGAATATAACAAACCCGACTGGAATTTGAAAAATCTCTGATTTTGCAGTAAAAACTGTTACCCATTAAACCACTGCCATACATTCAAGCTTAAAGCATCTGGTATTCCCAAGTGGTCACCCATCTAGGTACTGAACATGCTCGATGTTGCTTATCTTCGGTGATCATATGGGACCTCCAGATCAGAATTGTTCATGTTTTATTTTTCTGTTTTTATTTGAATATTTTCAGTTGTCATATATGTGACACCATGTTTTGAATGACTTCACCATGCCTGATAACCCCAAAAAACAAATATATTAAATATTTTATACGCATTATAAATATTTTATCAACATTTCAAATATTTTTTTCTTTACTAATGTTCACCCTATACAAGGCTCAAGAGTCACTCAAGGTAGAGGGTTAATGAAAGGAAGTTGATATATGACCAATACTTTAAATAAAAATTTGCAAATAGGAGAAAAAGATAACTGTTAAAATTGAAGATATTGCATTCTATTTATAAAATTTATATAGGATAAAATTACACATTTGACACACAAACACACACACAAAACACATATATATTTATATTTGTTCACCCTATTTTGAAATCAAGAGCAGTTGTAAGTGTTTATAAAACAATTAAAAACAAGACTTAAGAATGCATTTTATGAGGATATGCAGGGATTGTTGGTTATTCTATTTGAAGTGATTTTAAGTTTTCAACTGAATATTTTGGGGAAGCTTTATTTATAAAATTATATATATATTATAAAATTACACACACACACACACACACACACACACACATATATATTTTACTAATGTTCAATACCCTCAAGAGTCACCAAGGTAGAGGTTAATGAAAGAGTTCTATATGAACAGTAGAGGGTTTGCAAAAATGAGGATCTGTGGAAAGATAATGTTAACAGTGAAGTGTTTAAGTGCAAGTCATTGGAAGAAATTTTCTATTTATAAAATTATATATATATTATAAAATTACACAGGACACACACACATTTATTTGGGTTAATGGAACCAATATACAAGGCTCAAGAGTCACTCAAAGGTAGAGGGTTAATGAAAGGAAGTTGATAAATGAATTAAAAAAGAGATAATCAGATGCAGTTTATGAGGATATGGAAAGATAACGGTTAATTATGTTTATATTGTTTTCGGATAATTTTATTTATAAAACACATATATATATTATAAAATTACACACACACACACACACACACACACACACACATATATATTTACTAATGTTCACCCTATACAAGGCTCAAGAGTCACTCAAGGTAGAGGGTTAATGAAAAGGAAGTTGATATATGAATTTTTTTTAGGATATGGGGGAAAGATAATTTTTTAAAGAGAATCTTTAAGATTTTGGTCATTAAAAGTATTCTATTTATAAAATTATATATATAATACGTTAACACCATTTTATATTTACTAATGTTCGACCCTATACAAGGCTCAAGAGTCACTCAAATAGAGGGTTAAGGAAAGGAATTTGTAAGTGCAAGAGATAAGAGATGCAGTTTTTGAAATCCAGGAAAGATAACATTCTTTGAATGTTTAAAAATTATTCTATTTATAAAATTATATATATATTATAAAATTACACACACACACACACACACACATATATATTTACTAATGTTCACCCTATACAAGGCTCAAGAGTCACTCAAGGTAGAGGGTTAATGAAAGGAAGTTGATATATGAACAGTAAGAGCAAGAGATAAGAGATGCAGTTTATGAGGATATGCGGGAAAGATAACGGTTAATCCTCGACTTGAAGTGTTTAAGATTGTAGTCATTGGGGAAGCATTCTATTTATAAAATTATATATATATTATAAAATTACACACACACACACACACACATATATATTTACTAATGTTATATAAATACAAAACTCTCAAGAGTCACAAGGTAGAGGGTTAATGAAAGGAAGTTGATATATGAACAGTATTTGCAAGAGATAAGAGATAAGTTTATAATATTAAAAGATAACGGTTAATCCTCAAATTGAAGTGTTTAGATTGTATCATTAAAAAAAACAAATCGGCTATAAAATTATATATATATTATAAAATTACACACACAAATTTTCACACATTTTATATATTTATAATGTTTTTCTATAAATTTGAAAATAGTCCTCAAGATAGAGGGTTAATGAAAGGAAGTTGATATATGAACAGTAAGTGCAAGAGATAAGAGATGCAGTTTATGAGGATATGTGGGAAAGATAACATATCATACCATTATTCATGACTTCATGTGCAAATTAAAAACAGAAGAATTATAAATTGAACTTTGAAAAGGTAAGCTTAAATATTAATGCAATACTTAAATGCAGTGATCAATTTTGAGTTCTTTTGTAGTTTATTGTTGCCTATCACATCTACTCCTCTCTACCTATTATGATGATGTTTTATAAAACAAGAGTTTCAACAGGAATTTTTTTAAATGCCTGCTAGTTGCAAAATGTATTTAAAGACTTTCACGTGCACACCTTCTAATAATAGAAATGATTTCTGTCTGAATTTCTGGGATTAGAATTGAACCAGAAATTATTTGCATTATTTAGGTTATTCAGATTATTGTCCTCATCTTTTTGTTGGCATCTCTGTTTTGGGCCAATGTCGTTTGCAGTCTTTATCAGGCACTTATCTATTTTCAAAAAAATATTGAACTGAACCCTTTATTCAATCTATGGGGTTAGATTGTTCTTGTCTGACTGACCATGCATTATGGATTAAAGCATTGATTTGTGAAAGATTGACATAGTGGGTTCAATTTTCCCTAAAAAACAAAACAGAAAGACTTCTGGAATCAGGGCGACAGTAACTGCAGAGCTACTAAATAAAGTGTTAGACTAGATTTCATGGTCAGCAGAACAAGAAAAAGCTGAGGAAGGCAGTTTATGCTAAAGGTTTTGAAAATTCCCTGGAGGTTACTCAAATCAACAAGTACCTGATGAAGTTTGGATGACACAATAGCTAAAATGTTAGGATGATAACAACAAAGATGAGAACAATAGTTTGAGTGTCAATAAAGTAAATAATAATAGATTCTATTTGACATAAGGTGCATGGGGGGGGGCATTTTCTATTGCTTCTAAATGGAAAACTCACCCCCCCTTATAATTACTATATATTGATATAAGTAGAAAATACATTAAAAAACTCACAGAGAAAAAACAACTAATAAGAGTAAAGACTTAAAATATTAATTTCCTGTATCTTTTTTGTGTGTAAAATAGTAATATTATATGTATACAAGTCTTATAGTACAGTAATATTAAATATATATGGGTCTTATAGTACAGTAATATTAAATATATATGGGTCGTATAGTACAGTAATATTAAATGTATACGGATCTTATAATACAGTAATATTAAATGTACACGGGTCTTATTGTACCATATGGGGCTGGACATATATAGCAAGAGAAAAATTGTCTAGCATGACACAGTGAACTTTCATAGCAGTAGAACTAGCAATGGATTCAATATAATCTTTCCACTTAAAAAATATTAAAGAATTAAGCTTGTTTCCAACCTTTTCACTCACATGAATCATCTTCAGGGCTGTGTAAAATTAAATTAAAGTGAAGGAAGAAAATGAAAAGTGTTTTAAGTAGCTATTTTTTTTTTAATGTGTCATATATTTTTTTTGTTTGTTTGAAATTGAATCCAATAAATCAGAATGCAGAAATTTACATCGGCAACATGCAATGGCAACGTGTATCAGTCACATGCAGTGATGTGGTTCAACAGAACACGGGTTTGATTGTTTTTTTTTATTAATCTATGATTACTTTTTAGATGTTGGTAGCTTCAATAATCTTTTTTTTCAATAGTCTTTTTTTCTGTTGGATTTGTGGACTATTTTAGTAAGGAAATGTCAAATGTCATTATAGCTCTTGTGGTGTTAATTTATTGCCTAACAGCACTTTGTTCAGATACATGGCAAGTAAGGCTGCATGAAAGAGTGGTTGTTGTATAAATAAAAACAAATATAGATATGAACAGATTGAAACAAACAGATACAAATAAAGTGAGTTCAATAAATCAAGACTGATTCTCATGTCTAAACATTTGGCTGAAGAAATAGGAGAACATAACTTTCTTTTAAAGGAAAAAAATGTGGGTTTCTATATCAGAAAAATGAAAAGAAAGAAAGAAAGAAACGGAATAATTGTTCCGAGAAAAATGAAAGGCAGATATAGCACTCAGTCACCTTGAACCAAATTTGAAAGCAGAATTCAAAAGAAACGAATGAAAAATTAAATAAAAGCCAAATAATATTACTGACATCAAAAATTGTCTGGAAGTGACACAGTGGTCTCAAGTAAGGAAGAAGTCAGAAGTGGCTGACATGAAAACTAAAGAATATTTTTTACAGTTTATCAACCCTTTGTGGGTTATTTAAAGCCAAAGCATATTTTGGATTGTAAGAATAATGGTTTTATTGAAAAAGTGAATATTTGTTTTAACAATTTTCTTAAAAGAATATAAAATGATTTTCCAGATACAAGTTGTACTATTTAACCCATAGCTGGGAGAAGATTACATATGTTTTTGTGCAGATCCAAACATAATTGTACATAAGTGAATGTAGAATCCAGTAATGAAATTTGGAAATTGAACTCAGCTGTCTCTGATTTCTCATTCCAACAACTATTCATTGGAAAATAAACCTGCACATCCACAACTTTATGAAAAATAATTATTGGACATATGTTTTTTGTTTGTTTGTTTGTTTAATGGCATATCAACTACTTGGGATTAATGCCAAACAATAATTGATATATATATATATATATATATATATAAATATATAATATAATGACAATGTAAAGGATATTTAAAAGTTTTTCAATAACTCACAATAAGATTATACAGTCTCTGATTTTTTTTACATTACATTAATAATATTCATTAATAATAATAAAAGACGTTATTAGATCTATTCAATATATGATAAAAGAAAGAAGACACATAAAAGCAAGTCACATCGGCTCTCAGCAAAGCACCCAGATTAATTGAAAAAATGCGAAAAGCTAAACAAATATTTGGATTTTTTTTAAAGAACAGGAAAACCGTGAAGACAAAAGCTGTACCTATTCTTATCGGCAGACTTGAAAGAGATTGAAAGAACCAAATATTCAA